TCACCTGTGAATGAATTTAGATGTATTTATTTTTTCTCCAAACTCAAAATATTCCCTGAAAGAATATGTTTACTGGTTCTGAATTACTCATTATTCCAGGTTTCCTTGCCATTCTAGCTTCGGCCTTGGGTGAATTTTGAACTCCATGTGATAGAGGAGTAGAATTACCTTTGGCTCTGCTTATCTCTTTTTCTCTTGTTAAGGCACCTGTAGACCCAGGGTCTAGTATGGTTCTTTTTCTTCTAAAACATCCTCCTCCCTTTTATTCTAATGCTTTAGTTTTATTTATTGAGGTAGAAAATAGGGACTAATGGAATGATGGCACAATTTTGCCATTTTTCTTTGGTTTGAAAATTTGATTCAGGAAATATTTATTACCTGCTCTGAGTCGGATGGTGAGTTTAGTTCTGGGGAGTCACTGGGGAATAAGCCACAGTGTCTTGTAGACTTGTGCCTTGGAGACACAGTCACAAGTATTTCTTACTATAATACAGGGTGCTGTAAACAGAGTATTATGAAACTTACAAGAGCAGTTAGTTAGCAGGGAAGGACTTGCCAGAGAAAATGGCATTTGAATTGGGCCTGGAAAGATAGATGGACATTTGTGAGCAAGGAAAGAAGAAGGGATATTCTAGTTATTGTGAACACTATATGCAAGAACCCAGGGGGCGAAAATCTGGGGTTTGTTTAGGGAGTTGCGCACAGTCCATAACGCTAAAATATAGGAATCGAAAACTGAATGAGAAGTTAATTTTTTATGTCAGATTGTTAAAGGTCGTACGTGCCATACTAATTTGGGACTTTATCCTTAGTTTAATGGGGAACCACTATGCCTTTTAAAGCAGGAGATTAATGTGATTTTATTTCTGCATTACTTAAGAGCTACACTCAGATGTCTTTAGGACCAGGTGGGTAACATAAATGTGAAGCTGCCAGGTTTAAGACAGCAGGGAATGGTAGGGCCCACAGGACTGGAGAGTATTTGCCTTGCCTAAAGCTTTAACGTATAAGCCATTTGAAAACACTGTGTTAGCCAAATCACATAGAATATTGACTAAATCCAATGTGAAGTTAGACCCCTGCTCACAGTTATCCCTGACAGCTCTTTGGAGGATGTTGTACAATGTTTGGTTGATGGTGCTTGTCAAATAAATGAACAGAGGGATTAAGGGGTAGAATGTGTGTATTGCATGTGGAGTTTCATTAGGAGCCTGTTAGAATTCAAGCAGAAGGTGATAGTGCTTGAGTTAGGACCGAATTGAGAAAGGATAAGCATGGGTGGATATGGGAAGTACTGAAATGAAAAGGTGCAATTGTCAGGATTTGATACTAGTTACATATGAAAAAGGAAGCATTAAAGATGACTGGGATTTTCAGCTTGGATTGAGTGGGTGGTGATGCTGAGAATCGAGACAGAGAACATGGGAGAAGGAACATCTTTGTGAGAGAGAAGATACTGATTTGGTTTTCTTCGGGTGAGGTGAGGATTTATTTAATTCTAAGTGTTAAGACACTAGCATGGGTATCCTTTCTGGGCATTGTTTTGGGGACATTAGCTCTCATTCTTGTTTCATTTGTTCATTCATTTATTATTTTTTTTAGACAGGAATTGTCCTAGAATCATTTTTGTAAAGGAAAATCTCAGTCTTGCCTACAAGTGTTCCCTTAACCTCTATCTTTGGATTTGGCTGTATTTCGGGCATAAATCCTGATTAGGGACCTTAATTTTTCTAATTCAAAGCATATAGTTTAGCTCACTCTCAGTTTTTCCTAGGGAATATAATCTCCAATCCTCAACTTCAATCCAGAGTACACTTATGATAAATAGTGTTTGTAGAAAATATATAATTCCTCTAGATGTTTGGACATTTATTCTTGAGACCATCAAAAACTGGATTCCTGTATTATATTGGTTTTACTTTTATGACAAATTGCTTTATATCTGCATATCTTTCTCCCTCTAGTGTTATCTCCTCAGCTTGCATTGAAAGGCTCTAGAAGAAATACACGCAAAGAACCCATTATTTTGTATATCGTAAGGATGTTGTCAAGGGTGTTGTGCCTTAGGAGATAAAAAAATCCCCTTTATCAAGACTCTGGCAGAATTTTCTCTCAGAACTTAATGCCAGCAAAAGTGATTTTTATTTCTTTGTTTTGTTTAGATTTTTTTCTCACCTTGAGCTACTGATATGTTTTGGTATTGTGGACACTGAATTGTGTATTATGGCTCTCCTTGTTTGCTTTGGCTGCTAGGACTTTGAGAGTCAAATTTATAATCAGCAGATACCAGTAAAAAAACCTTGTATGATTTTGTTAAAAAATTTTGTATTGGTGTATTAATATGTATCTTCCGCTTGTTCTTAACTGTTTTAAGAATAATTAAGTTTTAATCTTTTATTTAAATATTTTCTCTATGATCGTATTTGTTTTATTAAACATTGTAAATCTTTTTTAGTAATGAGATATAATAATTCAAATAATATTGTTTTTTTTTTTTTACTAATCTAGTAAGAATTAAAGGGAAAAAATCTAGTAAAAAAAATTAACTGTATAAGTAAACATAACTGTAACTACCACCTAAAAATAGAACATTTCTAATACTGCAAAAACTTCCCTGATATACCATCCCAGTTATTCTTCCAAGGCAATCAATTCTGGCTTCTGTCACCAAAGTTAGTTTTGCTTGTTTAGAACTTTACATGAATGGACTCATACAGTATGTACTGACTTCTTTTGCCCAACATTATGATTTTGAGATTCAGGTGATTTATTTTCATTGCTGTAGTCATTATGGACTATATCACACTTTACTTATTCATTTAATTATTCATAGACAATTGTATTGTTTCAAGTTTTTGTCTATTAGAAATAATGCTGCAAGGCTTATCTGTACATTTCTGTTAGAAATGTATCCAGAACTAGAACTGCTGGGATATAGAGTGTGTGTTGAGTTTCAGTAGGTATTACAGTTTTCCTAGAACTGCTGGGATATAGAGGATATGTTGAGTTTCAGTAGGTATTACGGTTTTCCAAAGAGATTGTATCATTTCCCTTACTCTAGCATTGAATGAGTGTTTCATTTGCTCTACGTCCTTGCCCACATTTGGTGATGTCATTTTTAATTTTTTAAATATATTTTTAGCCATGCTAGTTATTTTTTACTGTGTTTTTAATTTGCATTTCTTGAGTGACTAATGAACTCGAGTGCCTATTTATTTGTTTATTAGCCAGGGGGAGCCTTTGTCAAGTATCTCTTGAAGGCATTTATCCTTTAGTTTTTTTCTGTTCCACTGATCTGCTTATGTATCTTTATGCCAGTACTACACTGTCTTATTGCTGAAACTTTATAATAAGACTTTACCTATTTTAGTATATGTCCCTTAATATTATTCTTTAAGGTTTTTTTTTTGGCTATTTTTAGCCCTTTGAATTTCCAGATAAATTTTAGAAGCTGCTTGTCAGTTTTTACAAATTAAGAAAACGTTTTATGCGATTTTGATTAGAATTTCAGTTATTCTAGGAGATCATTTTGCTGAGAACTATGTTGAAGGTTTTAATCTATTAACATGGTATACAAGGGCTGTCTGGAAAGTATCCAGCCATTGTTAATATAACGAGAATGGTTTTTGCAACATTGATGTAACCTGGCAGCCAAGGAGACTGGATTGGAATGTGCTTGTGTAAACAGTGACTACTTCACTGTACTAGTCAGTGGGGCGCTAGACGCTGTTGAGTGAGCATAGGTACTGTGTGGCTGTCGCATTCAAAATGACTGAGTGAGTAGAGCAACAAATCTTCATCAAATTTTGTGTTAAGCTTGAACATTCCTCTGAGGAAACTATTCGGATGATTCAGAAGGCTTTTGGGGATGATGCCATGAGTGCAGCGCAAATAAAAGTGTGGCACAGATGCTTCAAAGATGGTTGAGAATCTGTTAAAAGTGATCCATGTTCTGGAAGGCCTGTAACAAGCAGAACACCTCAGAATATTGAACGGGTGTACGGGTGAGGTTAAATGCTGGGAGAACTGTGTGAGTTCCCAGGGTGCCTGCTTTGAAGGGGACCGAGGCGTCATTGTCCTACGTACAGTGTTTCTTGTATCTTCTTCAATAAATGTCTCTATTTTTCATTTACATGGCTGGATACTTTACAGACAGGCCTTGTATACCTCATATATTTATATATATACATATACCATATGTATTTAAGTCTAATTTGTTTTATCTCAGTGTTATATTGTATGTTTATTAGACTTACCCCAGGCATTGGTGTTTTTACATTGTATTTTTTTTTTTTTTTTGAGACAGAGTTTCTGTGTTGTCAGCCTAGCTCACAGCAACCTCAAACTCCTCGGTTAAAGCGATCCTCTTGCCTCAGCCCCCCAAGTAGCTGGGACTACAGGCATGCGCCACCATGCCGGCTAATTTTTACTGTATATATTTTTAGTTGTCCAGCTCATTTCTTTCTATTTTTTTAGTAGAGACGAGGTCTTGCTCTTGCTCAGGCTGGTTTCGAACTCCTGAGCTCAAACAATCCACCTGCCTCGGCCTCCCAGAGTGCTAGGATTACAGGCGTGAGCCACCGCGCCCAGCCTACATTGTATTTTTAAAAAATTCATTTTCTTGTTCTTTGTTCCTAATATGTAGGAAATTAATTTTATTTTTTAAATTTTACTTTCTATTTAAACTATACTTTTTATCTTTAAAAATTGCTATAAATTTTCAGTTCTTAGTTTTGTCTGTAGATTCTTTAGGATTTTCTACTCACATAATCCTGTTGTTGCTAGTCATGACTCTTATTTCTTCCCTTCTAATGCTTTTCCTTTCATTTCTTTGTCTTGCCTTATCGCACTGTCTGTGGAATCAACAGCACATCTTACTGCTCATCCTGTGGATCTTTGAATTTGTTGATTTTTTTATTTAGCTCGTATGTCTTGTATATTAGCACTTAGTTTGTCTATTTGAAAGGTAGACTTGTTTAACTCTGTGTTTTATTTAATAGTGAACTGAATTCAAAGCTGCAAGATACTTTAGAACAAATTGAGGTAAGAAGGATTATATCATAAGTTATATGACTTTTTCTTTTTACATGTTTTTGAATAGCATAGGTATAACATTATGTTTTGGCTTTTATGTTATTACCGGTGTTTCTAGATCACTATACTTTGTTGTTTTTCATCGAAATGTCTATGTGTGGTCAAGTTAGTGTTAATATACTTGTAAACTCATAATACTTTCGGAATTATGGGATCTCAAAACAGTGTTTGAGAATATCACCATTCTCAGAAAAATCTCCAGACTGTTAGTCATAGGTATGTTCTCATGTAAATTATAATAGCCAAAATACTTTTCCATGTATTAATTATATTTTGATTATCAACTACTCTTTTTTATTTTAGTGAGTTAAATTACTTATGAGTAAGTATTGGCTGATGAAAACCCTCCTAAATTCCTAAACCTTATAATGATATCTCATACAGCTCATCAAAAATGTAGAAACTGGAAAGGAAAAGATGTGTCATTGTGAGCATGAAGCTTTGTTTTTCTTCCTACATATATTTAGATTCACTTGGCAATCTTTGCAAAGTAGGGTATAAATTTTAATAAATTTAATAAGAATTATTTGGTTTCTTCTAGTATTTTATTTTATTGTTTTCCTAATAAGAGTACTTATAAAAATTAAAGTTGGAATTTCAAAGGACCTTTTATGAAAGTAGTTTTTGATCATAGATGCATTTATTTGTTAATTGTAAGAATGCCAATTTATTTGATAATCAAAAAAACAGCTACTTTAAGTCCCTTAAGTAAACAATTCCCTGAATATTTTTAATGAGGGTTTTCTATTGAGAGCTCAGTATTTCTTTACTCATAATATACAGTATTATTCTATACTTATATAGAAAATTATTATTTAGAAATGAAGTCACTGAAAGAGAAACCCATAAACAAAGTAGTATATATTTAGATATATAAGCTTAAACTTTGAGTTTTGTATTTTTAAGGTCTATGTATTTTTTGGTGAGAATTACTTTTCACTGATTACAGAAAGATTGTTTTGTTATTTTTCAGTAGTCCCACCAATTTTGTTCATTATATTATGTTCATTATAATGAAAAATTATATTTTAGCAGATGCCTGAGGAAACATAAAGTAAAAATAAAAAATAAGATTGCTTAAGAAACGATTGCATTTATTTTGTTTCCTTTGAAACACTAGGCATGAGTTTCATAGCAGAAACTCCTATGTTGACAATGTTTCAGTAAACTTGATAACTTGATTATAGTAGCTAATAAATTACAATTTACAAATTATTTGTAATTTTATTTAAGCCTTTTTTACTATTAAATCTAGTGTGATAGCAAATATATTTAGGTATTAATTAAAGGTTAGAGATTAGTCTTAGTATTTTCTTTTCATTGCCTTAAAAACATAATTTCTTAACTACCTCTTTCTTCCTCTTTTAATTACATAGGAACAGCTGGATGTAGCTCTTTCCAAAATCTGCAAGAATTTTGACATTAACCATTATACAAAAGTTCAACAAGCTTATCGACTTCTTGGAAAAACACAGGTTTGTTTCAAAAGGATATTTTCTTTTTTCCTAATCACTGATCAGTTGACCTTCATGATTAAGTCTGAATATTATTCATGTAGTGCCCTTAAATTTCCTTTAACAGAGTACATTTTTCTGCTGAATTTAACAATGGTAGGTAGCATGGTTGTTCACATAGACTCAGAGTGTATGTAGTGTGATTAAAACATTACAGAAGTTTGTTTTGAACTATGAAGTATTTGTCAGGTTTAATATTCTCTCAATTTTATGTAGGTTTTTAAAAAGTATTAATATATAAGATAATTTAATGGGAGATGATGTGTAGTCCCTTTTATCTCAGCTCTTGGTCCTGAAACAGGACTTTTTAATTTGGGACTTCATGGATTCCTAGATCGGCCAGAATGACTGCCTCAAAATATTATGTAAACTTTGTGCATTGTGTACATTTATCTGTAAAACAGGTCCATTGCATTTATCACATTTTTAAAGGGTTCTGTTAGCTCCAAAATGCCATAACTTTTTTCAAAATGCATGGCTTTGTATACTCCTACTGTTCAAGGGCTTCCTTGAAAAACTTGAAACAAGGGCCATGGTTTGAAAGTTAATTGTATCTTTCGTGTGTACAGGATTATACATTTATCTATACAACATTTAACTGATAGACATAAATGTTTTCTTCCCTTAAATGGTATCCTCCTTTAGAGGGAAATTTAAGACTTTATCCAAACATTTAAACTCCATTTACATTTTTAATTCTGAATAAAGAAATTTGGCCGTTTATTGTTTTCATGTCTTAAGCCATACCTAAGAAAAAATCCAAGAAGAAAGACATGTGGCAGTTTTGAGGAGTGTGTTTAAAGGCTTCTAAAAATGGGATTATAATTTCTCATTTCCCACATAAAGTTAAGTCTTACATTCCTTAAATATTTCTTGTTACCTACTATGTGCATTACTCCAGGCCCCTGGATTTAGACCTTCATGTATCTTACCTTCTAGTGAGGAATACAAGCATTAAAGACATACAGGGATACTTTATTTTATTCTGCCAACCAGCTATTTCTCCATCTCTCTCCCTCTCCTTGGGCCATCCTATTCCCTGAGACACAACAATATTGAAATTAGGCCAGTGAATAACTCCTACAGTGGCCTCTGAGTGTTCAAGTGAAAGGAAGAGTGACTTTAAATCAAAAGCTAGAAATGATTAAGCTTAGTGAGGAGGACATGTTGAAAGTCGAGACAGGTCGAAAGGTAGGCCTCTTGTGCCAGTTAGCCAAGTTGTGAATGCGAAGGAAAAGTTCTTTTTTTTTAAAATTTTTAATCATTATAGGTATATAATAGTTGTATATCTTTACAGGATACATGTACTATTTTGATACATGAGTACAATATGAATTAAATCAAGGAGGAAAAGTTCTTGAAGGAAATTAAAAGTGCTGCTCCAGTGAACACACAAATAAGCAAGCAACATAGCCTTATTGTTGATATGAAGAAAGTGTAAGTTGTCTGGATAGACAATCAAACCAGCCACAGCATTCCCTTAAGCCAAAGCCTAATCCGGTGCAAGGTCCTAATTCTTTTCAATTTTATGAAGGCTGAGAGAGGTGAGGAAGTTGCAGAAGAAAAGTTTGAAGCTAGCAGAGGTTGGTTCATGAGGTTCAAGGACAGGAGCCTTCTCTGTAACATAAAAGTAGAAGGTGAAACAGCAAACGCTGATACAGAAGCTGCAGCAAGTTATCCAGAAGATCTGGTTAAGATCATTGATGAAGGTGGCTACCCTAAACAACTGATTCCTAATGTAGATGAAACAACCTTCTATTGGAAGAAGATGCCATCTATGACTTTCATAGCTATAGAGAAGTAAATGCCTGGCTTATAGCTAGAGAGAAGTCGATGTTTGGCTTTGAAGCTTCAAACGATAGACTAACTCTCTTGTTAGGGGCTAGTGCAGCTGGTGACTTGAAGTTGAAGCCAATGGTCATTTACCCGTCTGAAAATCCTAGGGCTCATAAGAGTTATGTTAAATCTACTCTGCCTATGCTCTACAAATGGAACAACAAAGCCTGGATGACAGCACATCTGTTACAGCATGGTTTACTGAATATTTTAACCCCCTGTTGAGATCTGTTGCTCATAAAAAAAGATTCCTTTCAAAATATTACTGCCCATTGACACTGCACCTGGTTACTCGAGAGCTCTGGTGGAGATGTACAAGGAGATCAATGTTTTCATGTTTGCTATCACAACAGTCATTTTCCAGCCCATGGATCAAGGAGTCATTTTGACTTTGAAGTCTTATTATTTAAGAAATATATTTCGTAAGGCTATAGCTGCCATAGATGGTGATTTCTCGGATGGATATACACAAAGTGAATTGAAAACCTTCTGGAAAGCATTCACCATTCTAGATGTCATTAAGAACACTTGTGATTCATGGGAGGATGTCAGAATATCAACATTAACAGGAATTTGGAAGAAGTTGATTCCAGCCTTCCTGAATAATTTGGAGGGGTTCAAGACTTCAGTGGAGGAAGTCACTGTAGATGTGGTGGAAGCAAAAGAACTAGAATTAAAAGCAGATCCTGAAGATGTGACTGAACTGCTGAAATCTCATGATAAAACTTGCATGGATGAGGAGTTAGTTCTTATAGATGAGATGGAATCTACTGCTGGTAAAGATGCTATGGACATTGTTGAAATGACAACCAAAGATTTAGAATATAACATAAACTTAGTTGATAAAGCAGTGGCAGAGTTTGAGAAGATTGATTCAAGTTTCGAACGAAGCTCTGTGGATGAAATGCTAATCAAACAGCATTGTAATGTGTAGAGAAATCTTTTGTGAAAGGAAGAATCAGTCAAATGTGATGTACTTTATTGTTGTCTTATTTTAAGAAATTGCCACAGCTACCCAGCGTTCAGCGCCCACCACCCTGATCAGTCAGCAGCCATCAACATTGAGGCAAGACCTTCCACCAGCAAAAAGATTATGACTCGCTGAAGGCTGAGATGATCATTAGTATATTTTAGCAATAAAGTATTTTTAGGTTAAGCTGTGTGCAGTGTTGTTTTTTTTTTTTAAGACATAATGCTATTGTACACTTAATAGACTGTGGTATAGTGTAAGCATAACTTTTATATGCACTGGGAAACCAAAACATTCATGCAACTCATATTGTGATATTAGCTTTATTGCGGTGGTTGGAACTGAACCTGCAATATCTCTAAGGTACACCTGTAAATGAATGTGATGTCAGGTGGTAACAAGTGCTTCAAAGAAATACGAATCAGGAAATGGATGCAGTGATGGAAAGTACTGATTTATATAGGTTAGTCAGGAAAGGTTCTATGAGAAGGCAACCATTGAGAAGTGTTCTGGATGACATAAGAATGATTATCAGATGGCATATGGGATCCAGAGGCGTGATTATGCACGTATGAGAAAGAGCAGGATGAGTACCAGTTATAAATACAGAGCAACAGAATAGTGATCATGACTGATTTATCTTGAGCGTTATGTGTTGTGGTTGTGTGAAGGGTTATTTGCAAATAACCTACATTACAGTTATAATTCTGGGAATAATAGTGATCTTTGTGCTATAGATAGAATTGGTAAAGATGTTTTTCCTGTGTTTTTCCAATGTGTTGAAATGTATTTATATTAATAACATGAAATTACGTTGTATGTTTTTTTCTGCCCATAGACAGCAATGGATCAACTGCACATGCACTTCACCCAAGCCATCCACAATACTGTGTTTCAAGTTGTTCTTGGTTATGTGGAACTATGTGCTGGAAACACAGACACAAAATTCCAAAAGCTGCAATATAAAGATCTCTGTACAGTATGTAGTAACTTAATTACTGTTCATATGTCTGTCTTTTAGTTTTTAAATTCATATTCCCTTTTTCTTTGCACCTCCCATTTCAGGATGCTAATAAAATAAAAACAAATGTTTGCCAAAAGTTTTTTTCTTCTCCCATATTGTTCTTTTCCTTATAGAGAAACTGGAGAACTCAGTCATTCAAACAGTAGAGGTTACTGAGATTGGAGTGGAGTTGCTTCTAAATTGACTCTCTACCTTCTCTTCATTTCTTTTACCCTTCTCTCTCAGGCTCTGAATCCTCTTCCTTGATTGCATCTAGTGTACTCTGAGTAATCATCGTTGCTGGTTTTCCTTACAGATTTTCAGTCAGTCTTTTCATGTGTAGAAGTGCTGTCTCTGTCAGCATCTGTAACCAGCTTTTCCTTTTCATTCCTAAAGAAACATCGATCTTTAGGTAATATAACCCAACAAGTGAGAAGCAGACTGATTTGGGCTCTATTTAGAAGTGGGTTCTACTGATGCATTGATGTAGAGTGTGAGGAAAAGAGAATGATAAACAGCTGGAAGAATGAAAGTGTCATTTGCTTTTACAGGGAAGACTGGGAAGGAGCAGAACTGTAGTGGAAAATCAAGAGTTCTGTTTGACATTTAAGTGGACTTGTGGAGAAGGCAGTTGGATAAAAGAACCTGGGGAGATCAGGGCTGAGGTTATAGATTTGGGACTCATCAGCATCTACTGGTATTTAAAGCCATAATTTTGGATAAGGAGGTTGAGGAAAAAGGTGTAGATAAAGAAGACATGAGGGCTGTGGGCTTTGTGACATTTCAGGGATTAGCTAGGGGAGCAGAGACTACAAGAGTCTGAGAAGGAGCAGCTAGCTGTATAGGAGGAAGACTAGGAGATGCTGGTGTTATGACAGCATGAAGAAGGAAGTGTTTCAAAAAGAATGGAGTGTAAACTTATATCAAATGCTGCTGAGAGTCTGAATATGGTGATATTACAGAATTGAGCACTTGATTTGACAATGTAGAGGTCTTTTATCACGATCTCCTTCATTCTAACCTAAGAATGCTCTATGTTTCTCACTAGAGACATCCTTGAGTTTTCTCTAATGTCTGCTCAGGAAGTTATAACAATTCTAGGAAGTAGATATCTATTCTTTTTTGTAATTATGTCCAGGACTTAGAGTGAAATTAAGTTAGTCTTCATTCTTCAACAAGTTTCTTTTCAAAAGTGCTGGTTATCTATTGGGAACTGGAGAAATTTTCTTACTTGAGCTACAGCAAATATTCTGGAAGGGTGTGGTTATATATGATATATTAAAGATTAAGTTAATAATGACAGTGGGTGGTTGTTAACATGGCTAAAAATGTCTTTTTAAAATAATGTTATAAATCATGAGGATTGTTTTATAAATTTTATGATTATTAACTTCAAGTGTGATATAGTTGTGTAATTACATTTTATTTTTATTTATTTATTTATTTTTTTTGAGACAGAGTCTGGCTTTGTTGCCCAGGCTAGAGTGCCGTGGCATCAGCCTAGCTCACAGCAACCTCAAACTCCTGGGCTAGAGCGATACTCCTGTGTCAGCCTCCCCGAGTAGCTGGGACTACAGACATGCGCCACCATGCCCGGCTAATTTTTTCTATATATATATATTTTTAGTTGTCCAGATAATTTCTTTCTATTTTTTTTAATAGAGACGGGGTCTCACTCTTGCTCAGGCTTGTCTCGAACTCCTGAGCTCAAACAATCCACCCTCCTCGGCCTCCCAGAGTGCTAAGATTATAGGCGTGAGCCACCGCGCCCGGCCTGTAATTACATTTTAAATATCCAGTTTTAAGTATATCCCTGATTTGGTAAATATTAATTTTAAAGTGTGTTATATATGAATTGACAATATATATTTTTAAATTAAATATCCAATTAACTTTATTGTTTGATTCTATTAATGTTGCTATCACTACTGGGTGATTTAAATGGTAAAGCAATTTATTACAAGTTAGTGATTTTTCTGTTAAAGCAGAAAATAACTCTTAAAATTAAAATGAACATTTTAAACAAATTAGGTTTGTGTCCATCCATCTTTTTTACTTTGGTTTTATCCAATTGGGGGTGTGCGGGGTGTGTGTGTGTGTATAATTGTTTTGTTAACACTTTATATAAAAGTATAAAAGTATATAAGTTTTAAAAGTAAAAAACATACTGTGCTTATGCTTCTTGACGTCCTCTGCACATTTATATAATAGTGGAAAGTTGTGCTTGGCTTATACATTTTAATGAACAAAAATAGTGCTCAAGGTAAATGTTTACCATCTCATTATGTTGCTTCTGAATTTCTTTCACTTTTTAAAAAAGCTGACTGTAAAATAATCTTTTGAAGTAGCTATATATATTTAAATTATCAGATAGTAAATACCTGTCCTTCCATATTTCATCTTGGGTTAAACGCTCATTAAAATTACCCCCCAGAAACTTCAGGTCATTATTATAAAATTATCCATATATATGTAATAGTGGGTGAGGTATATGTAATTATATAATTAAATTAAGGAAACAAATGATTTATTAATATACTAGAGCTTAATCATAGAAAACACACACAGCAGCAGGCACATATATTATTCATCCAACACAGTTGTGCATTTTTGGTTTATATTCAAGCTGTGCTAAAACATTAGTCACAGTACTTTTGGTTTGAAGTGATGAGAATAGTAGCAAATGTTAGTGATGGTTTCATGGAGGAATTTTTTTTGAAGAAAATAGTTAACATAATAAGGTGAAGATCGTGATGCACATTAAGGTAGCCCATTTTCTTTGGCACTATTCTCAGTAAAAAATTTGGGAAGTTCAGAAATTATTTCACACTTCCTAGAAATTACCCAAAGACTTCCAGGCAGACAGGGATGCAGAAATCTCTTTGAAATCTAAGTGTTAATTTATTTCATAATATTGAGTCATATTTGACATGTTTAGACCAGGTAAGATTAGGAAGAAATTATTTCTCACCAATTCTAGTTATTATTTAGTTAGATGACACGATGTGAACTTTCAGTAACTGAGTTCTATAAAAGATGATGATTAGCTCAGGAGAGGAAAACTAGAGGGAACCCTTAGAAGTTGAATAAATAAGTTGATGAAAAGAAATTTAAACACATTTTCCTGGTGAGAACAAATAAATATCAAGGCTTTGCAATTCGTAAAGGAGCCTTGTAAGAATGTAACCTTAATTTTTCAATATGTGGCAGTGAGAAATCATTTTAGCCTTTGATTAAAAGTAACTGCTAATAATTATTGAGGGTATACTTGTGTGAGAGCTCAAGTGTGTGGCAGTGGAGGGTCAGGTAAGCAAGCAGCAGCAGAGTCCTCAGGAGACACGTGGGGGTGTTGACTGTGGCACATTTTGGAAATGTGTAGAAAGCCTAGGCATTTTGGCAGTTTATTTTCTGTGTACAGTAGCAGTATTTTGAAGGAAGTCCTTAATCATAAATAGAGTTTTAAAATAACATTGAAAATTAAGATAGATGGATGGTACAGAGTAAGAGGGAGATGGAATTCCTGTGAACGGGAAACAGTTGTGCTTCCTTTGAATGGAAAACAGTTATAAATGAAAAGAGATAATTACTTGCTTGCTTTATTCATAGTATTATTTTAAACCACTCTCAGATACCAGTCTAAATGAGCTAGAGTGAAATTTAACTAATTTGTAAAAAAAAAACCCTTTAGAAAGAAATCTGGGGCAAAATTAGTATTCTGTTTTTATTTACCCTAAAGAGAACCTTAGAATTCTTAAGGCCAGCAGCATTCTGTTCCATTGTGAAATGTCTGCCATTCGTTTCCTTTCACCATTGCTCAGAGTTTAAAAGTTTAGTTGGTTTTGAGCTTTTCAAGTCATTTTGCAATTGAATGTACTTTTTTTCTTTACTAAACCATGTTTTCTAAATGATTTAATTAGAAGCATAGTTTTTCTTTTTATGGTTTATCTTTCAGTCTGCTGTCCCTGCTTTTTCTGAATGTATTGACTTACTGTTTCTTAGACTAGTCATTTATGTTCTTTTAAAAAAATGGATACGTTATTTTGAAGCCCAAATAAATGGCTGCTATTTAGCAGAATTTCAAAATGAGAATTTAATTTCATTCATTTCTTGAAAGGAACAATGTAAAGGGTCTTAGTGGTAATTTTATTTACTTAAAAAATTAAGCCTTGTTTGTATTTGCATTTATATTTTGATGTACCCTACATATTTACACCAGTTTATGGAGAGATTTATAGACACCATTTGGAAGCTTTTTATTTGGTGACCTTGCAGAGTAACCCTTTGTGGGTTATTTGAAAGTTTATGAAGTATTCATCGGGTTTTTTTTTTTTGAATAACGTTTCTTTGGCAGGCTGATAGATTTCCCTGGAGAGCTTATTTCAAGATGTTAATTAGGATGTTATTGATTAATTTTAGGATACTAGAGTTGGCTAAGCTGGCTGAAGTTTTCTCAATCATTTTTCAGTTGTTGATTTCTCATTGGTCTTAATGAGTTCAGAATTCTGTTTTTATGATGAATTGATGAAGTAGTAATACTTTGGACAAAAATATAGTGTTTCTTTTAGAAAAAACTTTTTGAAATCATTTCAATATGTGTTTTCACAGTGTCTGGTACATTGGAGGTGTTTAGTAAATGTTTCTTGAGTAAATTGGATTGCAGTGTTTATCTCTGATTGGCATGGCGCTGACACAGGTCAAGTCTGATTAGGTTAACTGAGAGAGGAAGAAAAGCCGACATTGGGCCATCTTTTCTGTGCCATGCACTTGAGCAGGTGCTTTATATGCGTACCTTGTAGAAAGACAAACTGAAGACTAGTCTAATATTTCATTCTTCTAGGCTTTTAAAGTTTAATTCTTATAAATAATATTTTTGATATTGAATTATAATAACTCAATGTCAATTTTTGGAGTTAATAATTGTAAGACCTCCGTTGAAGATATAGTCTATTTTAGATATTCATATAAAAACCTAAAGA